CACATATGATAAAAAATATGAAATATTTTATATGATGTATTTCCTATTCAACAAACCTGTATGAATAAGGCTTGAAATGACTTATATGCTTTCTAAATATAGTATAATCAAATTATAAAATGACTAACTATAAGATTTCACCTTCCTTATAACTATAAAATACATATTTGTGTCTTTAGTGTTAGAGAAACTTTGCATATTTTCTAAAGGTCTCTCTTGATCAAACGTCTGCCCCCATCGCTGTGAACGTCTCACAAAGCTCTAGCTTGGCTTCCTGAACTCGTTAGGAACTCACCTTTCATCTCGTATTAATCAGAACGTGTTTTGTGTTTAGAATCTATTAATTATTTTAGATGAATGGCTATAAATCGATCTCTGAAGGAGCTACAGTGATGAAACCCCTCACTCCTGCTGCGCTACGATGTAAGGATTGCAGGCATATGCTTTGTCAATGGCTGTGACATAGGGTTCAACCAGGAGTTGATGGACAGTCGGAAGAGCGAATTAAATGGTAGGAGGGACATCCCAGCTTCAAGTGGTTTCAGATTTCACATCCTATGTCACATAGGCTCAGACAATATACTATTGTGTCCGTGGGAACCAGGGCTATCACTCAATGCAAGCCATTTCGATCTACGGTGTCCACAGATCGATTAAGAAGCAAAAAACAGAACCACGCAGGTCCCCAAAACAGGGGACTTTACATCTAAGAGGTTTTAACTGTTGTACCCCATCAGAACACCAAATATGTAAGCTTGTTTTACTCCAATGTTTGTAAACAATGTAAATGTAAACACTGTATAGCATCAAGAACACTTTGTTATTGTTTCAACTGCTGATTGGCCCATTACAACTTCTCAATTAAAACCACTTGGATATTAGGATTATGTTACAACATAAATGGGTAGTTTTGCCAGTTAACAAATTACTTCAAACACAGCTGTATTTGTTACTTCTATGACAGTGTTGTGAGGGTACTGGCAGACCAATTCAAGAAAAGGTTTTGTCACATGCCACAGATAAGCCTTGGAAGTTGAGAGTGTGTTACTTGGATAATGGACAAGGTTCCATTCTGATCACATGCATGCTTTCAGAGAAGTGTATACTCTCCAGTCAATTACAGAAGCAATCAATATTGCCAATAGAATCGGCCATGGTAAGCTGTAGCAATGCAGGTACCATTGATGAGATTTTGGGGAACTTCCTTCTGCTCTGTTAGTTTTACAGATTGTATTTTTCATGGAGGGAAAATCTGTTATAGTTTGTTTGTTTTACAGATTATTATTATTTTATTATCTGGTTTCAACAACATCTCATCAAATAGGTATTTACTGGAATTTCTTCAACCTCCACCGATTGGCTATTTACCAGAACAACAGAAGCGGAAAGAAATGGAATGAAGTCCACATTTCTTTATTTCTCAAATAGATACAGACCATTGTTATTCACATCAGAGCATTTGTTGGTAACAACTGACATAAATCTGACTATATCTGTGTGGTGAATAGTAAAATGACAAACTAACAACCAACAGAATACAAGCATTCCGCTACTCCCGCAATGACATCTGCTAAATATGTGTATGTGACCCATAAAATTGTATTTTATTTGAATAGATTCTACCTATGAATTCTTATAAGTTTGTTGTGTGTTGTGTATCATCTTATATAATAAATGAGGCATCTTAATGCATGTTCAAACTTTTTTAGCCGAGAACTAGGAATCTTTTCCCCTGTGTTATCTAACATTTCCAGGAGGAGCTACAGTGCATCTGTAACACTGAGTGCAGAAATTGGAGAGGTTGATAGCTGTAGGTAAAAGACTAACAAAAAACACTTCAAGCCATCAAATCCAATCCCTCATCTAGTGGTCGACTAAGAACATTTCTACTTATTTTGCCCTTCCAAGGCATAAAGATGAGTCTGAAATCCCTTAATGTAGGTTTGCCCCCAGTGGAGAATGTTTTATATCAAATATGTACTCTCTGAAACAGCCATAAAACAAACAAACAATAGAGGGTTGTTTTAATGGGGTTTTGTCTGTCTTTTTAACGTGACTCCAACATCATTTCACTGTGACCTCTATCACACTATTGAAGAAGTTCTGACACAAATGAAATTGATACTGAGAAGTTTTAGGGGATCTTACTTCATTGCTTTACTGTTACAAAGAGGGACAGAGCGTTATTTTCCACCTGTGTAGTACAAGCAAATAAATAAAGGAAAATAACGTGGTAATATCGACAGATTCTGTCACCCCTGGGTCTGTAACAGTGGTCTGAGACCATTAAAGATTTTACCAGAACAAAAGAGGAATGAAAGCAGTCTGGACGTCAAACGCTGTATAGATGTCTGACCTTCTAGTACCGCCTGTGGACTAAGAACGTGTACACTGTTGAGGAGCACCTTTTGCCCTGACCCTGCTCTCTCACACATTCACATTTACACGCACTGAGATAGAGAGACAAACAAACTCATGCAGTGCAGTGCCCACACAGTGAATAAACAACAGGTTTTCCACATATTTTATACTAGCAGGGCAGCTTTGACATTGAAAGTCAATACATATTTAAAGGTGTCGCACTCATTCATCATATATGCAAGGATGCCTTTGTAAACAAGACACATACTGTGCAGTTTGGGGGCAAACAGAGTCTCACTAACTGTGGAATGGTATTCTCAGCAAAGAAATGCTAGCTACCTGTTGTTCAGTTTATGTACTGCACACATTTTGATATTAAGGTAAACAGGTGGGTTCCTATAGACATTTCTAGTAGCCTACTGTTTTCAAATAAAGTTTTTTTCTAAATAGCTCTAGCTAGGGATCCTTTTGGATCCATTTCAGATGTGATTATCAAACCATGGTTTTCTCAGGGCATTGTGTTACAAATTGTTAAAGCTGCACCAGTCTTTCTGGTTTTGAGAGGATGACTCAGGGTCTGAACCATCACATATCCATTGTACTGTGGAGGGGTTTGGAATGAGAGGGGCCTGTTATTCAGCTTTCATAAAGCCTGCTGCTGTCAGAGCCCATGCAGTGCCCAGACAGATGCTCAGGGAGGGGTGCAGGTGCAGTAGAGCGAGACAATCCCCCAGCATCCAGAGTGGAATAGACCTGTCAGCCAAACCAGCACTAAAACAGCCAGAGAAACCATAGAGAGCCCTCACCACAGGATTCTCATTCAACTATATGAAGAATCCTGACACATAGCCAACCTACAAGCAGCATGTAAAGATATATACATGCAGGCAGGCACGCACACACATACACACACACACACACACACACACACACATGCACACACACAATACTGAATAATTTCTACACAGTTCAGAAATTGTGAATAATTCTAGTTTGAATCATCCACAGACTTGAGTGATGCATGCTTTATTGAGTGATGCTTCGTTGAAAACACATATTGAAGAACTCCAAAGGGAAATGGTAGGGGCCTTTGGTTTCTTCGATTTCAGACTGACATACGGAAGAGGAGGCAGTACGGCAAGTGTATGAACGTTAGGACGCGCTATCCTTGGTGCTGAAATGTAATTACGACGCGTGGCTTTGACCTTCCAATCACAGCAGGTGTCCTCCAATAAAGTCAAACTAAAGTTCACCTGTTGCTCCTCGGGATTAGCCCTTGCACATTTGTATTACCATATACACATCGTTAGAGATAAAACTCTATTCTTCTATAAAACGACATCATGTCTCTATCTCTATAGGTAGGCTATTACACTGTCCATCTATTCATTCAACATTACGTGCCGTAATACCATGACCATCATGTTCAAGCATCACTAGTAAAATGAGTCAGCCATCAATGTCAACCTTGAGAGACACTTTTGTGTTCAATAAGATCATTTAGTCTACTTAGAAAGGGGAGGTGGAGGAGGTGTCATCACTGGAGGGGAGTGAAAAGCTTGGGGAGCTTAGACTGAGAAAAACAAAATGAGACAACAGTGTGCAGAGCAGACGGCACAAGGAGGATCAACCTCAAGGATCAACAGAGTGTTTCTCCATCTGAAGAGACAGTGGTAGCCCAGGAAATCCCTTGACAATTGAATACTTTGACAACTCTGGTTTTTAGTTTTGCTGTTATTTATTTATTAGGCTATTCATTCTTTTGTCTATTTTTGCCGGCATTTTTTTTTCTTGTTTTATTTTCAATGAGATCGTTACAGACGAAAATCTCTTCAATAGGCTACTGGTTGCAGCTTTTGGGGGCTATTGGTTAGACTACTTACAGTTTTATCGACTGGTCTCCAGAAGTGAAGATAAAGGGAACGGAAAAGGAAAGTGTGAGGAGACAGAAGGAAATACGTACCTTGTACAAAACAACGACCTGTGGGACTGTGCATGTTAATCCTATCAAACGCAAAATATAAGTCTTCAATCTAACAAATATGAAATGGCATGCATTTAAAAGCCAGCGCAGACTTAAACTGCTCTCGAATTGGATTTGTAGTTGACACGTTTTTTAAAAATATATATAGTTGTATTTTCTATTTTGGTATCATTGTTTTTTTTCCCATAAATGCGGAATAAAATATGTTGCAATGTGCGGTTTAAAATGGTTGGTTTTGATGTAACAAAGATATTTGCTATGTTTATCTGAGACAATAAAATAGATAGAATTACACCCAATAATAAAGTTTTAGCAATATATCTAATAGGCCTACTTATATCCTTCGGTAATTGTAATGCAACGTTGGTGTGACATATAGGCTACACAAGCACTCTTGATGTATAGGCATTCCATGCATTGAAGACAAAGGCAGAGACATCTGCCACTTTGTCCGGGACTTCGCGAGCTTCGATTCCGCCACTGTTTTCTCAACAGGCTACACCAAAAAACAATGACGGTCAAGTGACAGAACCTGAACAGAGATATTTTTTCTGATTACAAACTTGTGTTCTCCAAAGTGGACTATAGCAAAGTTTCGGTCAGAAAACTACAGTGAGCTATATGAAGATCGCGACACAGATTTTCCCTCGCAGAAATGCCAGTGCGAATGCCAGTGCGAACCACAAGGTTCATGTACAAGGGGAATTGCACTATTCCAGATATCCTATCATACCGGACCCCCATTAACCTGCCCGAGGATGAGGTGGAAGGTGAGTCATGATTATTATATCTATTATTTCATGTCTTGCCTAAATCCATTCTGCATGTGGAGGATCGATCCAGCCAGGTCAAGAGAATGACCCCTGCCCTGACCGTGAAATGAGTCACTCGAGCTCAGCTGTTCAGCACCTTGGAGAGCGCCCCACAGCTACGGGGCTAAATGTTAGCACATCACAATGGTCTCACACAAGCAGCAATTACAATTTAAAATGCACTAAGATTTTAGGGCATGTTCTATGCCCTTGTATGTTCTATCGTACTTGTCTTGACCAAATCACTTGTTCATAAGACAACTTACATGTGCCCAGCTGTAATTGCGGTAATAATATATGCCAGTTTAGCAGACGCTTTTATCCAAAGCGACTTATAGTCATGCGTGCATACATTTTACATATGGTTGGGAGACATCAGTTAGCACTAAAGTTTCATTATTGTTGTTAATAATGTTAGTTCCACCATCTGCAAAATAATTTAAACCAAAGAGAATGTATGCTACATTCTTAGAACAAAAGGTTCTACCTAGAACCTAAAACGGTTCTGGCTGTCCCCATAGGAGAAACCCTTTGAAGAACCCTTTTCAATTCCAGGTAGAACCATTTTGGTTCCAGGTAGAACTCTTTTGAGTTACATGTAGGGATCTACATGGAACCAAAAAGGGTTCTACCTGGAACCAAAAAGGGTTCTCCTATGGGGACAGCCGAAGAACCCTTTTGTAACCCTTTTTTTCCTGTAGGCATGCCAATCTGAATGAGTGCTTGCAGGTTTGGAAAAGTATGCCTTGAATATTGCTAGACAATATTTGTTTGAATGTTGCTTGAATGGTGCTAGACAATGTCCAGGTATTTGTACCTTCATTTTTTTTATATAGTTGTACTAGTTCTCTGATACTTTATTCTTGTTTTTGGGTCGTTTTTTAATTATGATGGCATTTGGGCATGGCATTTTGGGGGAAAAAAGTACTTAATTTTGCTATGTTTTTTTATGAAGGTATTTGGGTACATCTTTCCATTGTAAACCAACTAATATGGCAGCTTAATGACTTAAATAATGCTTACCATTATGATAACATTGTGCCACCAGTAAGAATAGTAAAATGATGGTAACATCAATGACAAATTTTAGGTTATAGAGGATTTTCTTAATTGGGGGCCACATATGCTCAAATCTAAGGTCATTAAACATTTACTAAATGATGCCCACAATGTAATTTCCCTTCATTTAAATTGAGAAACACCAATTACACGTTGTATTTAGACTCACAAAATGATCTATGGACTTCTCACATTTATGACGTACTAAAAGAGTGTGATTAGCTAATTATTTTCTTCAATATAGACCTCACTCAATATTCAGTCTTTATCAATCTACTGTATCTTGCAAAACATTGGTGATTCAGACTGCCTGTGAGTAAGCATGTGTATGTTACAGATATATCTTTCAACAGCAATCACTCAATTAACTCCATTATACAGTAACAATACATTATTTATTGAAGCCCCTGCGTATTGCCCACTCCAAGCTACAGTATTTCCTATAGAGGCCACCCAGCATCCACAGAGTTTCTCTATCTGCCTACTCTAATAACCTTTCTGAGGTAATTCAATTAAAGTTATGACTTATAATTAATGCATTGGTGCTGCAAGGAAGGGACATATAGAGTAAAGATCAGGACATAGATATCACCAAGTGTAACTGTGTAGCAGGACAAAACAAATCATTCCACCAGCATTTCCTAGGAAATGCAATCAGATTTTCCTGAGAGAATGTAAAGTAGCAAAGACGAGCCGACGCTACAGAATATAACCTGTGTATGTCTGTCTTTTCCAACTCTGAATCATAGAGAACAAAGTACTTACAATTCAAATGGAAGAAATAAATACACTTTTTCACACTTCAAGAAAAGAACAGTCATTAGAATACAATCCAGCCTGACGTAAGAGATGGTCCTCTCTAACCCTGAAGTATAGGAAATTGTGCCTTTCGATCCATATGTGTGCACTGTGTACATGGTATGGCATTGGAAATCACAATATGTGATGACTGTTGATGATGAGTATGACTCACAGCAGACAATAAAAAGTGAATATATTCATGACATTGGCTGTTTTTATGAAGGTCATTGATGATTGACAGCAGAAGATAACATGGGGCAGGGAGGAGTGAATGCTACCTGGAAGCTCCAGATGATAATGAAAAAAGCTGCACGGTGAATTCTGAAAACAAGTGGTTCATGGTGGAGATTTGTGAACTAAATACATAGAAATTAAAACAATCAACAGTATAATAAAAACCTTTAGTTAGGGATTGATTGGCATTGATGCATCATTGTTCTAGTTGACGTTAGTTTGTCGATAGAGGTTGCAAACCATAGAGAACCTATGGGTTTGGGTAATTTAGAACCTAGTCTTGCACAGTAGATTTGGTCCTGGGTTACGAGATTAACCAAATATCACAATTTGAGACTATGATTTATTTACTACTCCAGGAAGAATGGGCCGGGCAGTTAAATTCATAGGGGATGTTTTCATTTTGAAAAGCCAGATTCTGAAGTTCACATAGTGTGGCACAGTGGTCTAAGGCACTGCATCGCAGCGCTAACTGTGCCACTGGTTCTAATCCAGGCTCTGTCGTAGCCGGCCATGACTGGGAGACCCATGGGGCGGTGCACAATTGGCCCAACGTCGTCCAGGGTAGGGGAGGGAAGAGCATGGCGTTTGCAACACCAGGGTTGTGGGTTCAATTCCCACGGGGAGCCAGTATGAAAAAAAATAAAATAATGTATGCACTCACTAACTGTAAGTTGCTCTGGATAAGAGCGTCTGCTAAATGACTAAAATGTAACAAAATCTCCCTGGCTTTTGGTGTACAGCTGCATCTCAGCAGAGGGATCATTAAAGAGATCCTCTGTCTGGCATTGGGTAAAAAACAAAACCCTGCCAGAATATAGTAGCATTCTTCCTGTTTGAAAGGGCAGTTTGGTGGTTCCTGCAATGACGAGATACACATACAATACAATACAACTTTATTAATCCCCAAGGGGCAATTCCTTCCGGGCTGACAGGGTGCTTCAGACAGGACAAACACACACTGACAGTGTAAAAAATAAATATAAACACTTAAGGCATTATATAAGGGTGCATAATGCAATTGATGAAACTAAAGGTTCATGGTATTCACAGTTCTTAATTAATTGTAGGGCTAAACTATCTCTAGAATAGTCACTCGGACTTCGTTAATGTTCCTATTAACCAGGCGGATGGCTTCGGGCACAAACGAGGCCCTGCATGAATTTCGACTGTGTTTTCATACGTTTCCTGAAAGTTGAGAATGGAGATTTTGTTGAAACATACCCTAATCAAAATCTGTTTAAATGCTAGTGTTTTTGGAGCAAAGTCAGCAAGACGAAAAATAGAGATGAAAGTCAGATCAGATATGCCTCAGTATTTCATGCTGATAATGAAATTCCTATTTCTGCTATTGGTTGGTCGCCCTGGCCCCAGATCTGGCCAAGCTGTCTCGCCCTAAAATTCCATCCTTGCTTTGAGCAATTTATTTGGCATGGAGAAACCACTAGCTGTTGGGGGACTGAGACTCTAATCAAAAGACCAACCATGACTGGGCCCAACTCATAGAATTAGATCAAAACAAAAATACCCAAGATGCCATGTGTTGCAGGTGGAGTGCCAGCCCAATGACAGTGCAGCAGCCAGAGCTCTGCAGCAAATCATTCACTTATTGAGGAAGCCATTTGACTGCTGTTTACTCATTGAGGATCATCCAATGTAACGGGCACAGTGAGCTGTCCAAATTCAGACAGGGGGGTGGAAAAAGGACAGGTTGATTATGAGGGTAAAGGCTTGATAAAATTGGCACAGGAGCCAATTGTCTTTTCTTTCTGCCATGATTGGCTTGTGTTTTTGTCTGGTTGCTGGCTGCTGTGACTGATTACACTGTAATAATGCACAGTCCAAGTTTCAATATTAAAACCTGCGTGCTCCTTGAAGATAACACTGCAATGCGTCAATATGATAATTGTTACATTTACATTTTCGCACCAAAATTACAATTATTATAGTTATTATATGACAAAAAACATTTACCAAAATAATGCATTTAAAAAATACATTGAAAATACGTTTTTAAATATGTAGTGGGGAGGTGCAACTATCTTCATCATCAGTAAAAACAAACAGAAATTAAAGAGAATGGCACTTCTTATTATTCTTCCCGATCCCTAGTCCCTACAAACAATAATCAACTCCTCAAAATAATCAGACTGCACAGTTCATTCAAGTGTACCTCAACAACTATTGCATAGTCAGGAAAGTGTTTTTAAATGCCAGTTGACGCACTTGAACATGTCTGCCGAACTAGATAAGACTGGTGGTTTGCCCACACAGCATTGACTTCATTGGAGTGAGGTCCCAGGTCTCAGTCTGTCTCCACCCCTCTTCCTGTTTGTCAACGCACAACTGACGGAGCTTGCAAACATTATTTATAGATCAAAACATGTCAGAGAATCCCCCAGACACCAGGCATTGTGGTAGGACTCAGATCACTTTCCACTTTGTATGCAAAAGCTATCGTTATGCCTGGTTAAAAATGGGAAAAGGTTGCAGTAAGCACCTCATATAAAGGAGCTGGAGGCCTCTGACTCTACTATCTGTAAATCTGCAAATCAATTAATCTACTATTATATTTGATACAATGTTAACATTTGACAGAGACCCATAAATCTCTGCTCCCCCATCAGCTGATTCACACATAGTACCAAACTCACAGTTGAACACACACTGGATTCTAATCTGGATATAATAGAGTGCATACATACAGGTGTAGGATCTTAATTTGACCAGTATTGTCGCAGCAAAATAATCCTGGAGCAACAGGATTGGAACGTTTAGTCCATAATGTTGCTTGATCGGTGGTTAGGCTATTAGCTGGTCAAAATGAGGCTACATGAAAAGTGGAATAATGTTAATCTACCCATGTGTTAGTGAATTTATGTAAATCACGAAGCTCATCTGCATGTCCATGCGGTGCAGGAAAACTCTCAGCAGCAAAAGAGTGATCAAATTAAGATCCTCCATCTGTAATAGAAAGAATCATCAGCATTATATTTTATTGAGCAAGCTTTACAAGCTTTTCTAAGTGCCATTGAACAAAGTGGCATGGCATTGTTTGAACAAATTATAACACTGTAGTCTATAGTGCTGTTCTCATCAAATACTGTTACCCTTATCACTTACTGTATGTAGGTGGGTAAATTCCCAGAATAGGGAATCCTATGCCAAACGTGGACATATGGTAAGCAGTGGAGTCCCAATGGACACACCAGCAGTTTAAATTAGTACCAGGGAGGCTTTTCCTCTCATTTGCAGGGTCCCAGAATACTGTGAACTATGAGGGGGTTTCCTCACCTTACCTCACCACCACTGTGTAGAGCTATAGCTCTGCTATATCTAAGCAGACAGCTTGTACTGCAATTCCCAGGGCACATCAGAAGAAGCTTAGTCTCTTGTAGTATTTGTAAACCTGAAGAGATAACCTGGGATTAGTCATAACAAAGATGGAATGGAGATTGTGATAATTTGTTGGAGAGCTCTAGGCTTACAGTAAGCTATTTGAAGAGGAGGGCTCTTCTCTTTCTCTCTATCTCTCTCTCTCTCTTAGATGTAGCCTCACTGAATGCAGAACCAATGTCACAGTGCGAGTTCAGCTGTATTATCATAAAAAGAAAAGCCTGTTGAAAGATAGAGAAATCTCATGAAATGGATGAGCAGCCCACTGGGCACACCATGTCAATTCAACGTGGATAATTGGGTAATATTTGGTTGAGACATTTATCAATGACATTACAACCTATATTCACCCACTCAAAAAGACAGCCAAAAGTTAGTTGAATTGCCAATGTGTTATCACTATGCTTTCAACCATCTAAAAGAACAACCAAAATCCAATGGAAAAACTGTCTGATTTTATATTTAGCAACCCAAATGTCTATCACCACACTTTCAACAAATTAAAAGTGCAGTAAAGTTCAAATGGGAATACAATGTCAGATATTTTGTTTATTTATAAAACAGATTGTGTTATCACTGTGCTTAATCTAATAGCAGAACCAAATTACTTGGATTGCAGTTGAGATTAAATTAAAAGTTTACATGGTCCAAGTGATCAATGCCATTCGAGATTCTGTGCAGATTATTAAAGCAATTGTGAAAATCTCCACAGAGCTGTGATGACCTATGCATGCTATCTTAAACAAGCACACAACTGTATTAAGCCCCTTACGCTTTGTATGATTACATAAGAAGACATTTTAAGTTACAGTAACCTCAAAATGTGGCCATGGATGTGTTACTCATTTTAAGGTTGAATGTTACATTAGTTTACAAGATAGCCTTAACTTTAGGCTATTTACTGTATTACAAAAGTAATATTGAATTGTGTTTGGTTGACAACTCAACCAAATATCAACATTTTCTTGGAGATATATCTACTGCTTGGATAGTTCCATCTGAGCCACCAGCTTGATCCCATTCTTTAACTTTTATTTTTGGTTGAGTTGGAGATGTAAATCAACATATAATTTGTTAACCTGTCGACAGGTTAATACGCTGTTTATTGTATTTCAAAAGTGAAATTGAATTGTGTTTGGTGGTCAACACAACCAAACATCAACATTTGAAGAAGATGTATCTTCTGCTTGGATAGTTCCATTCAATATCACTAAATATCATTTAATTTGAAATAAACCAGAGCTTGAAACCCTAGGCCTATTGTATTGTCTATTTTTAGTTAAATTCTGGGTTGAATTGAAACAATAGCTGTGGATGACTTTGCAATTGCTATATTGGCCTAAATAGCATCATTGATCATTATTATACTGTACAGTGCCTTCGGAAAAGTATTCAGACCCCTTGATTTTTTCCACATTTTGTTAGGTTACAGCCTTATTCTAAAATTGAATAAATTGTTTTATTCCCTCATCAATCTACACACAATACCCCATAACGACGAAGCAAAAACTATTTTTTATAAATATTTGCTAATTTATAAAAATAAAATAAAAATGGAAATATCACATTTACATAAGTAATCAGACCCTTTACTCAGTACTTTGTTGAAGCACCTTTGGCAGCGATCACAGCCTCGAGTCTTCTTGGGTATGACGCTACAAGCGTGGCACACCTGTATTTGGGGAGTTTCTCCCATTCTTCTCTGTAGATCCTCTCAAGCTCTGTCGGGTTGGATGGGGAGCGTTGCTGCACAGCTATTTTCAGGTCTCTCCAGAGATGTTCGATCGGGTTCAAGTCCGGGCTCTGGCTGGGCCACTCAAGGACATTCAGAGACTTGTCCCGAAGCCACTCCTGCATTGTCTTGGCTGTGTGTTTAGGGTCGTTGACCTGTTGGAAGGTGAACCTTCGCCCCAGTCTGAGGACCTGAGCGCTCTGGAGCAGGTTTTCATCAAGGATCTCTCTATACATTGCTCCGTTCATCTTTGCCTCGATCCTGACTAGTCTCCCAGTCCCTGCTGCTGAAAAATATCCCCACAGCATGATGCTGCCACCACCATGCTTCACCATAGGGATGGTGTCAGGTTTCCTCCAGATGGAATGCTTGGCATTCAGGCCAAAGAGTTTAATCTTGGTTTCATCAGACCAGAGAATCATGTTAATCATGGTCTGAGAGTCTTTAGGTGCCTTTTGGCAAACTCCAAGCGGGCTGTCATGTGCCTTTTACCAAGGAGTGGCTTTCATCTGGCCACTCTACCATAAAGGCCTGATTGGTGGAGTGCTGCAGAGATGGTTGTCCTTCTGGAAGGTTCTCCCATTTCCACAGAGGAACTCTGGAGCTCTGTCAGCGTGACCATCAGGTTCTTGGTCACCTCCCTGACCAAGGCCCTTCTCCCCTTATTGCTCAGTTTGGCCGGGCGGCCAGCTCTAGGAAGAGTCTTGGTGATTCCAAACTTCTTCCATTTAAGAATGATGGAGGCCACTGTGTTCTCGCAGACCTTCAATGCTGCAGAAATGTTTTGGTACCCTTCCCCAGATTGGTGCCTCGACACAATCCTGTCTTGAAGCTCTACGGACAATTCCTTCGACCTCATGGCTTTTGCTCTGACATGCACTGTCAACTGTGGAACCTTATATAAACAGGTGCCTTTCCAAATCATGTCCAATCAATTGAATTTACCACAGGTGGACTCCAATCAAGTTGTAGAAACATCTCAAGGATGATCAATGGAAAAAGGATGCACCTGAGCTCAATTTCGAGTCTCATAGCAAAGGGTCTGAATACTTATGCAAATAAGGTATTTCCTATTTTTATTTTATAAAAACATGTTTTACCTTTGTCATTATGGGGCATTGCGTGTAGATTGCTGAAGATTTTGTATTTATTCAAACCATTTTAGAATAAGGCTGTAACGTAACAAAATGGGGAAAAAGTCAAGAGGTCTGAATACTTTCCGAAGGCACTTTATGAGTGATAAAGTATGGTCAGTCACATTTCATTTGTTATGTTAAACCTACCCTTTGGAATGTCTTTGATAGCAACAGTGAGTCTATGTAGTTGGAGTGGAGATCTCTTAACAATCACTCTCATGATAGCACATTGGTAATAGTCAGTGACAAATATCATAGCTAAGCAGGACTAGGCTTCGATAAAACCCTGGATGGGAGACCAAAGGGTAGCTGTAGATAGATCAATTATCCAGCAGAAGGTGCTGCCCAGACTATTTTTTTTATAGTGGATATAAATTGATTTGCATTTTAATTAGGGAAATAAGTATTTGACCCCCTCTCGATCAGAAAGATTTCTGGCTCCCAGGTATCTTTTATACAGGTAACGAGCTGAGATTAGGAGCCCACTCTTAAAGGGAGTGCTCCTAATCTCAGCTTGTTACCTGTATAAAAGACACCTGTCCACAGAAGCAATCAATCAATCAGATTCCAAACTCTCCACCATGGCCAAGACCAAAGAGCTCTCCAAGGATGTGGGTGAAAGTGTTGTGGTCAGATGAGACCAAAATAGAGCTCTTTGGCATCAACTCAACTCGCTGTGTTTGGAGGAGGAGGAATGCTGTCTATGACCCCAAGAACACCATCCCCACCGTCTAACATGGAGGTGGAAACATTATGCTTTGGGGGTGTTTTTCTGCTAAGGGGACAGGACAACTTCACCGCATTAAAAGGACGATGGACGGCGCCATGTACCGTCATATCTTGGGTGAGAACCTCCTTCCCTCAGCCAGGGCTTTGAAAATGGGTCGTGGATGGGTATTCCAGCATGACAATGACCCAAAACACACGGCCAAGGCAACAAAGGAGTGGCTCAAGAAGAAGCACTTTAAGGTCCTGGAGAGGCCTAGCCAGTCTCCAGACCTTAATCCCATAGAAAATCTGTGGAGGGAGCTGAAGGTTTGAGTTGCCAAACGTCAGCCTCGAACCTTAATGACTTGGAGAAGATCTGCAAAGAGGAGTGGGACAAAATCCCTCCTGAGATGTGTGCAAACCTGGTGGCCAACTACAAGAAACGTCTGACCTCTGTGATTGCCAACAAGGGTTTTGCCACCAAGTACTAAGTCATGTTTTGCAGAGGGGTCAAATACTTATTTCCCTCATTAAAATGCAAATCAATTTATAAAAATTTTCACATACATTTTTCTGGATTTTTTTGTTGTTATTCTGTCTCTCACTGTTCAAATAAACCTACCATTAAAATTATAGACTGATCATTTCTTTGTCAGTGGGCAAACGTACAAAATCAGCAGGGGATCAAATACTTTTTTCCCTCACTGTATGTCTATGTTGAAATTTGGTTGCCATGATTACATTTCACCCTCAAAACAACAGTTGATAAATTTTTACAAATCCATTGTATATTCCATGTAGATTCCACGTCACAATACATTGACAAATGATGTTGAAAAATGTTGATTCAACCAGTTTGTGCCCAGTGGGAGGTCTCAAAAAAATATACATCTGACACCAGCTTCAGCAAATACAGTGAGACGGCAGTGAATAAAGTAATTTAATATTTGATAGATGTATGCACAACCAAAAAGGCTTTAAAATATTTGACAACAATATAAACTCCATTATCAGTCAGTTGGAACCGCACAGTCTTGCGTTTTTTTTTCCATTTTGGTTTCATTGTCGTTAGTCATCGTTTGGGAAAGCATTAGCGACAGTGCAGAATATAGCTATGTCACCCATACAATACCTACAAGCCGAGTGAGACAGATGAGCAGAAAAAACTGTCCTCTTCAGAGAGAGAATCAATGGTCCTGAGGCACTGGGGAAGAATAGGGCTCAGGCTCAGAGGTGACCTTTTGTTCAAGGGGAATGGTGCAGACAGACCCCTGTAGAGATCCCCTTTCAGGGCTTGCTCTATTCAATAAAGAGCAGATTGATTGAGGAGATTTTAATACACATGTAGATTGGATTCTTTTTTAAGTGACTTCCAGGTGGAAATGGAGGAATTGACTTAGAATGCAAATTCATTCTACAATAATGGAATGTGGTTTGGTGCGTATTCCTAGTGCTGTCACTGCTCAGGAATGTCAGCAATTCTATAGATCAGACTTGTATTGTGAGCATTAATAATGATAGTCGACGTGAGACTTCAGGTGCAGGCAGCAAGCTAGACTTAGTAGTTTTTAATTCTTGAAGCAACAGTGACAAATGACTTTAACTCAATACCTCTACAGCTGAAATTACACCATGTATTTTTAAGCTAACTGCGGAAAAAGTTACATTTTGACTGACTTTTAAAGTTCAGAAAAAACATGAAATCAGGATATGCCAAGGAACCTAAGGCGTTCAAGTGTAACTATTCTTGGAACAGGACCAATGTGGTGGCCATACCCTTGACATTTAATGAAGGACTAAGACAAATCAAAATTACAAACTCATTTTCCAAGAAGGTGGTCCTAGTCAAGAATCTATGACCCTCAACCTCTCTCACTCATTAATAATGCATTCATAATCATATCTGACAAAGAGCCAAGGTCACTTGCTAGCAAAATCATACCAATATATTCAGTATCTGTCAATGAACATATCAAGATCTACGGTGCCTTTGGAAAGTATTCAGACCCCTTGACTTTTTCCACATTTTGTTACGTTACAGCCTTATTCTAAAATTGATTAAATTGTTTTTTTCCCCTCATCAATCTACACACAATACCCCATAATGACAAAGCAAAAACAGGTTTTTAGAAATGTTTGCTAATTTATAGAAAAATAAATAACTGAAATATTACATTAACATAAGAATTCAGACGCTTTACTCAGTACTTTGTTGAAGCACCTTTGGCAGCGATTACAGTATTGAGTCTTCTTGGGTATGACGCTACAAGCTTGGCACACCTGTATTTGGGGAGTTTCTCCTATTCCTCTCTGCAGATCCTCTCAAGCTCTGTCAGGTTGGATGGGGAGTGTTGCTGCACAGCTATTTTCAGGTCTCTCCAGAGATGTTCGATCGGGTTCAAGTCCGGGCTCTGGCTGGGCCACTCAAGGACATCCAGAGACTTGTCCTGAAGCCACTCTTGCGTTGTCTTGGCTGTGTGCTTAGGGTCGTTGGCCTGTTGGAAGGTGAATCTTCGTCCCAGTTTTGTTTATTTAATACATTTTAGAATAAGGCTGTAACGTAACAAAATGTGGAAAAAGTCAAGGTGTCTAAATACTTTCTGAAGGCACTGTATCTATATTAGTGAGGCTGTGCTGAAATAGTACAACAACAGTCTGTAGGTGAAAAGGTGATTAATCGCTGTCCAAATAACGCTCAGTCACTGGTGACTGTCTCTACAGCCACAACACTCCAAGGGGTGTTGCATTTGTCAGCGTGATGGCATCATATATCAATAGTAAAAGAAAACAAAAGTTGCCACTATATGAGCTATGAGACAATTGTTCAATAACACCCATTGGTCAGGTGGAAGTAGGACATTGGTTGCTATTATTGTTGTTATGGGGCATTGAGCAGGGCTGAATGATGTCTGATGGCCAGGTCAATGTGACCCCATCTCTCTGTTAGAGCTGATGGGATGTAAGTCTGACTGATGCAAAGACTTTAAATCAAAAATGGGGTTGTGTGAGACTTGCGAAGGAGGAGGAGGAGATAGCAGGAATATCTCTCTTTCACTGAGATGATGAAGGAAAGACAAAGATGATAACCTGACAGCAGATCAAACAGAAACAACAAACAGAGCCACACTGGAGGGAGATGAAGAATAAACCAACAGCCTAGCTGTCTGCTTCCCAGAGAACACACTAAACAATGATTTTATTGGCAAAGGACTATCAACACAAACTATTGAGCCACTCCTCTTATTGTTTTAACCGCCTATCCCTATCATTGTAGGTGGTGAAAACCTAACTATTATCACAAACTGTTTATTACATTGAGGCCCTGGTATTTGTATCATCCTTCCTTATACAGCCAAAAGTACAGAAATCCATAAAACTACTTGGTACACTCTTAGAAAAAAAGGGTTCCAAAGGGGTTCTTCGGCTGTCCCCATAGAATAACCCTTTTTGGTCCCAGGTAGAACCCTTTTTGGTTCAAGGTAGAACTGTTTTTGGTTCCAGGTAGAACTCTTTTCTCTGAGTGAGTTCTAAGAGTGCACGGAAAAAGATAACCTTGGCAATGGCATATTCATCTCCATCATACATAGGATGTGAAGACTGAACAATAACTATCAAAACAACTTACTCAATAATTTGACTGTTATAGAAATCGTTAATCATAGTTTTCCTTTGATGTGCTTTCTGGGAAACATAACAGTTTGCTGCTATAAAAGCACTCACTGTAATTGGAATGTGTGATTTGTCTTGATCCTGCTGTTGTGTCCCAGAGCAGTAGGGTCAGTCTGACCCTGGCCGCAGAATAGTTGGCGCTCTTTTCAGTCCTCAGTACACAAAAGAGGTTACAATATGCCTTTTATCAATTGCAAACATTTAACAGAAGGTTAACAAATCAATGCAAATGCTCAAAGTATTAATCTCAACTAAAGTAATGGGAGTCTCGACTAATTTGTTTGCATGCTATTACTATTACCATTCTCCTGTCAAATGGAACTGTCTAATTACTTAACTATATTGTAATTCAGACCCCATATATGTTTTATAGTGGATGCTGTGGAGGTATGTGGTGCTAGATTCCACAAGCCAAATCCTCTGGACTTTGTCTCAGCTCACTAAATATAAATGGCCTATAGCCACTCAGTTGCTCATTGATTCAGAGGATACATTCAATTGTGTTACTGTGTAAATAACCTGGATTATGCATTCAGCAGGGGAATATAAGAACCAGTTCCTCGAATCACATGCGGCACTTTGCAGTTTGTCGTTTTCAAACCCGTTGAGTCTTGTTGAAATTAGGTAACTGCAATATTTAAAACCCCTTTTGCACTAGAAGGCTTATTTCCAACCAAATGTGGATTTACATTGGCACCAGTTGAGGGAAAACAGCCTATGCACATGTGCATGGATTGTGTACAGATTTATTATAGGGTTTTGATTTAATTTATATACCTCATTTGAGCACAGTATTGTTGAAGTTTGATGTGCTGAAATGTGATATGACTGTATGCATAATTTGCTCACTTTGTACTAGCTGATTCTGGAAGGCCCTCCCTTCTTATCTGTTGTGTTTCCCTGTCCTGCCCAGGCTCAGCCTTTTATTGTGGGTCTTCTTATGCACAAATGTCTCAGTAGTGGTGTACTGTCTCTCGGTAAACTCCAGGTCAAGGATATTTCACGCCTGATCTAAACAAACGTATGAAGTCTTTTACCATTTTGATGAGTATTTTGTTTATTTGCAACCCTCCAAGATCTTGTATGGAAACTATTCCAAACCCCCTAGCTACTGATAATAGGCTTGTAGCCTCTCCTCATGTGCTAAAGTATTCTGTTTGAAGTGAAAAAGGTACAGTTGGCATCAAATATGCAAAACTTCAGTCTCTTTGCAGTTTGATGCAAATACACACTCAGAGATTTAAAGCTCTACAAATTCAGCTGAGCAATAAAAATATCAGCCAACTAGCTGCAATAAGATATTAACCTAAAGCCACCTAACTCTGAGTCTGAGCATTATTATCTGTGGGTAGTTTGAAAGGTCAGGACAGCTCTGTTGTGTGGTGGGGAAATGTGAACTTCTTGTTATCAATGCATTAGAATATCAGACTAGTCTCAATCATCCTATCTGAGTTTTGTTCCTTCATTTCTCCACAGAGATCCGTGAGGCCTTCAAGGTGTTTGACCGAGATGGAAACGGGTACATCTCAAAGCAGGAGTTGGGGGTGGCTATGCGGTCGCTGGGATACATGCCCAATGAGGTGGAGCTGGAGATTATTATCCAAAGGCTGGACATGGATGGTGAATCACAAACACACACAATTTTAAATGCTGTTCACTGAGATCATTCAAGATAAGGCCTTTGCTCCATTACATGTGTAAAAGTGTCTGGCTGACCAAAATATTGACTAAATATCCACACTCCTATCCCTGCAGGTGATGGCCAGGTTGACTTTGAGGAATTTGTTGCACTGCTTGGACCAAAACTTATTGCTGCTGGGATGCCTGATAAGTTCCATGGGGCGGACTTTGACTCTGTATTTTGGAAGGTAAGGTATCTGCTATCAGCCCCCTCATCTACCTCCTTCTCCTCTTTCTTCATCAGAGTTAATTATGGCTTAATATTTCCTCATTGGAGTGAGATGATTTTCCTGAGGGATTTTAAAGCTTTTGTGATTATAAATCACAGTCAGTCTAATTAAAATTACCATAAAAACATGATAGGAGTTAAATAATCATTAAAGAGAGGGCAATTCCACTGTGGTTATGACATCACGTATTATATTCCTAATTGCCGTTGCAAGCGTTCCCCAGGGATTACAATTTCTATTCAATTTATTCATGAGAGAGAGTCGATTCCAGAGCCATGTTCAGACAATTAAAACAAACACTTTATTAGTCGCTTTATCGTTTAAATTCTTCATCACTGTGATGAATGGATAATTACAATGGATGTCATAATAGTCAGGAGGCTGTTCATGATTTTAAACTTTATAGCAGTACAAAGAATTTACATTTTAAAAAAAAGCTCCAGGCTATACACAATTGATGTTTTTCTAAATCAAACATGTGAAATTTGATTTAACATAATCCATTATTTTAAATATATTCACCACACCTGTCTGTGATGTGATGGGATGGGAGAGAAACCCTTGCACCACTTCTAATTGTCTTACATAGAAATGCTTCTCAGTGTAACCTTGCTCAAACATTGATATGCAGACAGACACCTGTGCTCATGTTAAGTGTTTGTGTCTGGTACTGTCTTCCAGTGTGACATGTCAAAGCTGACCGTGGATGAGCTGAAGAGGCTACTGTATGACACCTTCTGTGACCACCTCACCATGAAAGACATTGAGAACATCATCATGACTGAAGAGAGCCACCTGGACATTCAAGAGTGCCAAGTGGACATTGACAGTAAGAGCTTTCAACCAGTACAATCTTGCTATGCAATAAGTGTGACCGGTGTAGTTTGCCCCTGCGTTGTGTTTTGATCGGCTTACATTTGACCAAACGATCAGGGTTGGTGTTGATCTTTTATTCTCTGATAATGACAGGAGAAACTTCCATAAACAAATGCTGTGCTGCCCTAATATGCCAAACTCCTCTGCAAAGTAACAACAAAAGGGGACAGGAGTAGCCACGCTAGCCCTATGACGACATGTAGCCTACAGTAGAAAGTACAGGGGTTAGCTAGCATGTACAGCCCTCACAACTCAACAGATAAAAAGTTAATAAATGACTGAAATACATGAATATCCCAATATGTTGGTGGGATACCATTATAATACACTGTCAGTGACCATTCAAACTCCTTATAAGTGTTTTAACATATAGGATTGATTATGATTTTCATGGGACAATTTTTCAGTAACCTACTTCTTCCACATGGGTACAGTAGACAGGGAAGAGCTAAGGGGGGCAGGGGATGTTTGAGGGGGAACAGAAGGAGAAGCAAGTGTGCAACATTAAAAAGAGCACTTACAACAACAAAAGGAATGTACAGCAATATCAGCCATGGAACTATTCAGATTTTTTGTAATTATACAACAGGAAATTCAACACTTGTTACACTCACTCCCGCCAGAATTACACAAACATCTGGAGAGTATGACAAGAAAAATAAAATATTGTAATGACTTCGTAGATACCGGCCCTAAGTGTTACCAAACCACACACTGGAATATATCAGCTAAATAGCTACCTAATAAAAGCTTAAGAGAGGACAGAGCTCTCTACAGAAAAATGAGGTGCATTTTACACCACAAGGACTTAGGCAATATCTTCTACTACAGTCATGGTAAAAAGTTTTGAGAATGACACAAGTATAGGTCTTCACAAAGTTCACTGCTTCAGTGTTATGAGATATTTTTATCAGATGTTACTATGGTATACTGAAGTATAATTGCAAGCATTCCATAAGCGTCAAAGGCTTTTATTGACAATTACATTAAGTTTATGCAAAGAGTCAATATTTGCAGTGTTGACCCTTCTTTTTCAAGACCTCTGCAATCCGCCCTGGCATGCTGTCAATTAACTTCTGGGACACATCCTGACTGATGGCAGCCCATTTTTGCATAATCAATGCTTGGAGTTTGTCAGAATTTGTGGGTTTTTGTTTGTCCACCCGCCTCTTGAGGATCGACCACAAGTTCTCAATGGGATTAAGGTCTGGGGAGTTTCCTGGCCATGGACCCAACATTTCGATGTTTTGTTCCCCGAGCCACTTAGTTATCACTTTTACCTTATGGCAAGGTGCTCCATCATGCTGGAAAAGGCATTGGTCGTCACCAAACTGTTCTTGGATGGTTGGGAGAAGTTGCTCTCGGAGGATGTGTTGGTACCATTCTTTATTCATGGCTGTGTTCTTAGGCAAAATTATGAGTGAGCCCACTCCCTTGGCTGAGAAGCAACCCCACACATGAATGGTCTCAGGATGCTTTACTGTTGGCATGACACAGGACTGATGGTAGCGCTCACCTTGTCTTCTCCAGACAAGGTGTTTTTCAGATGCCCCAAACAATCGGAAAGGGGATTCATCAGAGAAAATGACTTTACCCCAGTCCTCAGCAGTCCAATCCCTGTACCTTTTGCAGAATATCAGTCTGTCCCTGATGTTTTTCCTGGAGAGAAGTGGCTTCTTTGCTGCCTTTCTTGACACCAGGCCATCCTCCAAAAGTCTTCGCCTCACTGTGCATGCAGTTGCACTCACACCTGCTTGCTGCCATTCCTGAGCAAGCTCTGCACTGGTGGTGCCCCGATCCCGCAGCTGTATCAACTTTAGGAGGCGGTCCTGGCGCTTGCTGGAGTTTCTTGGGTGCCCTGACGCCTTCTTCACAACAATTGATCCTCTCTCCTTGAAGTTCTTATGATCCAATAAATGGTTGATTTAGGTGCAATCTTACTAGCAGCAATATCCTTGCCTGTGAAGCCCTTTTTGTGCAAAGCAATGATGACGGCACGTGTTTCCTTGCAGGTAACCATGGTTAACAGAGGAAGAACAATGATTTCAAGCACCACCCTCATTTTAAAGCTTCCAGTCTGTTATTCTAACTCAATCAGCATGACAGAGTGATCTCCAGTCTTGTCCTCGTCAACACTCTCACCTGTGTTAACGAGAGAATCACTGACATGATGGCAGCTGGTCCTTTTGTGGCAGGGCTGAAATGCAGTGGCAATGTTTTTTGGGGATTAAGTTCATTTTCATGGCAAAGAGGGACTTTGCAATTAATTGCAATTCATCTGAATACTCTTTATGACATTCTGGAGTATATGCAAATTATCATCATCAACACTGAGGCAGCAGACTTTGTGAATATTAGTATTTGTGTCATTCTCAAAACTTTTGACCACGACTGTACTATTAATATATATGTTGATTCCCTTGTGAATAATAGGGGACTTTCTCCTATCAATGCCCTTTAGAGTCTAAAATGTGTTGTATCATAGACTCTATCAGTCTACACACTGGCTTGATAACCCTCCCAAACCTAGAAGTGGGGTGATTGCCTGCATGGGCGCTCTGCCTAGGTTGTTCTGGGGCAGGGGGGTATTGAGGGGCAGGGATAGGGGTGGGGGATGAAGGGGCACCAGCACCAGGAGCACCAGCCACAGGAAGCTCATCTGAGTGAATGTTAAACTGTGGGTTACTTGGGTTGAGGCTGGCAGTGTCTTCATCAGTGTCTTCAGCCGAAGACTGTTCTTGGACCCAGGAAGTAATATGATCCTCAGCACATCCATCCAGCCAGGAGAGAGCATCCTCCATGGAAGCTGCTGCACTGTTGAATTCCAATCCAGAAGCTTCAGTCTCAAGCACATCCATCACATGGGTGAGGGAGAGGGTGTGTGGCTGACCCTGGTAGCCAGCCAGGCATTGACCAGGCAAGGCCTGCTTCCTCAGTCTCAGGCAGGACGTACTGGAATCTCTTGCTCTTGGTAAGTGGATCTTTGGAAACTCTGTACAAGATATCATTCAGCAGCGTGAGCTTTTCCCATTGCTTCAGAATCTTCAGAACAAACTGATTTTCATTGTGACGCTCACGCTTGGGTGGTCTGCGCTTCCTGTCAACATGGTGAATCACTCTGAAGATGGCGGCATCATGTTGTTGGTGGGCTATTCTACGAACAAGGAGGGGAGTGTGTCTTGGCCAGCTGGAGCTAACGTGCTTATGTGGTCCACTAACGAAGCAGCTCTCTGCCGAGACGCAGTCTCCCAGTCTTCATGAGAGGAGAGGAGAGTAAGCCTGACACGTTATCCTCAGACAAGGACACATCTGCAGACACTAAGGGCAAAAAGGGGCTTTGCGATGGAGGAACATCCGGGGATGAAGTGCTGGTAGTACAGGACCATCCCTGTGATGGTGTGCGGGCGTTGTCTTTCATCAGATCTTCCTTCTTAAAGGCTGAGATTACCTTGAACTTCTCCTGGTCAATAGAGACGCCAGTGCTGTCGATGATATGGCCCAGAAACCTCACAGAGTTATGCAAAAAGTGACACTTCTTCTGTGATAGCTTCAGGTTGTTAGCTCTCAATCGACTGAACACGACTTCAAGGAGTCTCAGAGACTCTTTCTTGGAAGGAGCAAAGACGGGCAGATCATCCAGGTAGCACAGAAGGCTGGAAAAGTTAAGGTCACCAAAAATCCTCATTCTCATGAAGGACGCCTGACTGTTGCACAGACCTTGTGGAAGCCTATTGTACTCGTACACACCCAGGGGTGACGTAAAGGCTGTGTATTTTTGGTCAGTCTCATGGAGAGGGATGTTGTGTAAAACCCTGATGTGAGGTCCATGGTGCTAAAATAGGCGGGCAGCCAGGCAGTCAGTTTGATGTGGCAGCGGGTGAGCGTCTTTGATGGTCCTTGTGTTGAGCCAGCGGAAGTCAGTGCAGATCCCCAGGTCCCCATTGTTTTTCCAGACCATGACCAGTGTCGAGGCGTACTGACTTGGTGATGAGTTGTTTCTCCTCCATTTCACTCAACACTTCTCTCAGCTTGTGAAAGTGTGCAGGAAGGACGCGGCGGTAGGGAAGCCTGAAAGGGCAGTCGTCAGAGAGGTGGATGCGACTGCTCACACTTGGAGTCAATGTAATTGTAGGAGATGGCTTCTCAGTTCTTCTTGACAGACTTGATTACGTTTGATAATAAAAATAATAATAATATGCCATTTAGCAGACGCTTTTATCCAAAGCGACTTACAGTCATGCGTGCATACATGTTTTTTTTTTTTTGTGTATGGGTGGTCCCGGGGATCGAACCCACTACCTTGGCGTTACAAGCGCCGTGCTCTACCAGCTGAGCTACAGAGGACCACATGATAAACTCATCTCATTGGCCAGGGACAACCAGGATTGGCACTGTGAACTTTGATTCGTAAACTTCGATTTCCAGGTCCTATATACATTTGGGCTTCGTAGTCAGACCACCACAACCGACGAGAACCACATTGTTGAGGGCTAGCTGAGAAAAGGGAAGAACACCAGCAGCTTTCAGTTTCGACTCTCCCTCTTCACTGATTATGCATGACATAGAGCCTGAGTCCAACATTCCATTCAATGTATTAGTACTGGGGCATAAAACAGCTCACTAGCCCCTTCTAGTCTCTGTGATCCGACAAAAATGTAGTTCTGGTCGTCTGACAGTAGCATACAGCTATTTACATAGATGGACTGCAGGTCTGGCTCACCTATGAGGATCACTATCTTTGCCCATGCTTTCGCACTACATGGGCTGGCTAGTTTAAAAAGGGGTTGATTTCGGAGGGGAGCGCTGACGTCATGGGAGGCTGAGATGCTTTTGGGCAGTCTCTCTTGAAATGGCCAGGCCTGAGACAGGAGTGACACAGCCTGTGTAGCCTGCAGTGTGCATAGGTCGTATGCTCAGTGGAGCCACAAACTTTGTATGGGGGACTTGGCTGGACTTGGCATGAGGGACTTGACTGGACTTGACGTGAGGGACTTGACTGG